TTAGTTGACATCTTAGTTGTTTTTTTTGTTTTAATAAGAGGAAAAAATTATATAAATACTTCCTGAAATTCAAAATTTACAATAAAACTCTCAAAACCAAATAAAGACTCCAGTACTCTAAAAAATATCTTCCTTTTACGTGTTACGATGTTTCATAAAAGTGGTGTGAAGTCAAAAAATAAATAATATATCTAAAAACTACATCATAAGATTTATAAAACTAGTAATGATATAATTATATTATTTTATCAAGTATATAATTAAAATAGGTAAGCAAAGTAAATAAAATTTGATCTTGTTAATACTCTTAACAGTGAATGGGAAGATAATTTTTGGACGGAGGGGGTATTTTGTATTACTATATTAGTTTTTTAAAGGGAGTATTTTTTAGAGTCACACCACTTTTATGAAACATTGTAACATGTAAAAGGAAGATATTTTTAGAGTACTGGAGCCTTTATTTGGTTTTGAGAGTTTTATTGTAAAATCTTGAATTTTAGAGAGTATTTATAGAATTTTTCCTCTTATTAAAACAAAAAAAATAACTAAGATGTCAACTAAGCATAATTACTTGCATGTAAGCGTAAGAAAAGCTGATTAGGCACAATGGGAGTAGTAATGTAAACTTATTGTTTAATTGGGAGCACCAAAGTCTTTTATTAAATTTGGGAGTATTATCGTAAAATTTTGAATTTTTGGGAGTATTTATATCAATTTTTCCTATTAAATTAAAAATTTCTTTCTCTCTATTTTCATCTATCATTAATTTGACAAAACAATATCGCCATGCGGCATCTTGTTAGGAACAGCTCTTGATTAAGTTATAAATATAAAAATTTTACTTTTATACCAATATTTAAATAAATTAATTAAATGCAAAGAATATTTAAACGATACGTAAAGGAATTAATGTGACGGAGGAATGTATATGCCCAAATTAACTCTGTAACTACTAAGATCCCGTTTGACATCAACGTTAGAGGTTAGCGTTAGCATTTTGAAAAGACTAACTGACGATAGCTTTTAGCGTTTTTGGAATTAATCTATACCGTTAAATTTTTATCTAAAATGCTAACGCTAAAAAAAAATTGTTGTTCCCAAATCAGACCTAACTTTGTGGGCGATACTTCCATCTTGCTTGGGAATAACATTTTCATTTAATGTTAGTGTTTTAGATTATTTTTTTAATAGTCAAATTAATTTTGCAAATGATAAAGCTAAACATCGTTAGATAAATTTTTTCATGACCTGAAAACTAAACACTGTACAAGTTGCCAAAAAGGTACTCCATCCATTTCTTAAAATAGTTCGTCTTTCATTTTTTTTGATTTCCCTAAAATACTTTCATTTTCAAGAAATTACTCCGGGGTACACTCGTTTTATTTGTAATGACGATTCACAGGTCCCACATGATCTAAATTATACTTCGGAGTTTCATCAATTTTCTGATAAGAACTCTCAGGTCCCACATTATTTGAAATATACTATGAGGATTCTTAAAATTTGTGGTAATGTACCCCTTAGGTACATTCCACGTATTTGACCGTTAGGATTAAATGTTTTTGTACTTTAACAAATACTAAATTTTATCTTCATAATCGTTATTTTATTAAATTTAAATAAAATCTTTCAGTTCCTCAAAGTAAAAGAATTTTCAATCTTAACGCCTAAATTGATGAAATGTACTCTCAAAGTATAATATCGTAATTTTGAGGACCCGAAGTACTCCCTCTGTCACATTTTAAATTGCATGTTTTCCTTTTTCGTCTGTCCCAAAATAAGTTGTCTGTTTCTTATAATAATAAACTTTTAAGGGTAAAATACCTAGACTACCCCTAAAATAAGTCACTCCTCTCCATCTTATCTTCTTATTCATCACCACCCCCGTAAAAAAAAGTAAGGCATTTTTGAAAAATCAACACCACTTTTTCCCTTCCTTAAATATGCCTCAAAGTCAAAATGGGCAATATAAAATGAGACGGAGGGAGTATATTTCAGATAATGTGAGACCAAAGAGTTCTTACGAGAAAATTGAGGGTACCCCAAAGTATATTTCAGATAATGTGAGACCTAAGAGTCATTACTTGAAAATCGAGGGTACCCAGGAGTAATTTTCTGCTTTCGATCATTTTTGTAAAATGCTAGATATATCTAAATTAAGTCGTTGTTATATACTCCATTCAATTTGCATTGATATACTAAGTCATTTAAATGATTTGTCTCTTTTTTTCTACCATGATAAGGATATAATTAGAAGATCAAATTACAAAAATAAATTTCTTCCAAGTCTAAACAGGAATGGTTTTTGGAAACGGAGGGAGTATTATGTTACTATGTACTACCTCTGTCCCAAAAAGAGTGTCACAATTACTATTTCGGCTTTTTGATAACTTTTATTTATTTAGTTGTTTTGATTGACCATTTGACAAAATAAAATATTATTAAAGAAAAAGACTAAACTAAAATAAAACATTGAAAATATACCAAAATAGGAGTTCCATATTTAAATTCCTGAATAGGAGTTAAAATACATATATAGTTTCAATCATGACCATAAATATATATACTCGGTATTACCTAAAAGTACTATAAAATGTCCATATACAATGCTACATTACTACAGTGCAAACTTTTATTTTAGGGATAAAAACATGGAGTTCAGTATTTGGTACTCTCTCTATGCTTTACTCCTATTTAGGGTGATTTTATATATATTCTTATTACATCTTGTTTTGTAGAACTTTTGATGTACTTTTGAACGATGTAACTTCTATATTTTACTCCCTCTGTCCCATTTTAAATGGTATGTTTTCCTTTTTTTCTTCATCCCAAAATAAGTTGCCTGTTTTTTGTTATCGTATACTTTTAAGAGTAAAATACCTAAACTACCCCTAAAATAAGTCACTCTTCTCCACCTTATCTTCTCATTCATTATCACCCCTCCTAAAAAGTAATGACAATTTCGGAAAGTCAACTCTATTTTTCCTTTTCCTTAAATATGCCCTAAAGTCAAAACAGACGATTTAAAATGGGACAGAGGGAGTATTTCTTTTCCAATTTTTAAAGGAAATGATTTTAAAAAAAATGATATTTAAACCATTTGGGAGGGAGAGAATATAAATTAAATGGTGTTGGAGGAATTGATAAAATCTAAATCATGTCGAGTGCACATTAATCATCTGAACCCCAATTATTGGAGTTTGTCAAATGTTGATCTCCATTTAGGCCAAATTCATTCAATTTATAATAAATGAACGATTTTGCCCTTGAAAGTTATTTTACATATAATATTTATTCTTTGTACTTTTAAGGGAAATATTGCTCTTTTAACCATAAATGAGTAGATTTAGCCAAATAGGGGTGGATATACATCCTTGTCAAATATTTCATTCATTCTTTTTAATTAACATTTAAAATATTTTTGCTAACATGTATTGAAAAATGGTGACAATTTGTTAACACTGGTGCATCTTACAATGCCCTATTCGACTTTGAAGTGATTCTCATTTTCATAATCCCCTAACACCGCCCACACCAACTTTCTCCGTACTGCACACCCGTTATAGTCAGAATTTTGATTAAAATCTAAACTCAATTAGGGAGGATGCAATTGCAGGGGAGGGGAGGGTTCTAGGGGAAAACTTTTTTATGATCAAATGAAATATTGTTGGATGCTCAAATACTCTGGTGTCATACTATGCCACCGGTTTCCAGTATCAAAAGAACTAGACTCTTTTTACAAAAAGATTTAAACGTAATTTATACTTTTTTTTAATATAATACGGAGTATAATGTATACCAATATTCATTTAACGTCTTATTTTATGTACCACAAATATTATAATGGTTAATTAAATCAACACTAATTGTACCTCATTGTCCTAATACTCCTAAACTCTCCACGAAGGCCTACCCAAATTCCCCACTTCCCCCTAATTAATTACTCCATTGAATAAGAAAATAGCTACTACTTTCTACCTCTCTCATCCTATATCTTTCTATCCGTGAATAAAACACTCCCACCAATACACTTTGGGTCCGTTTGGTATATAGAATTTGTGGAATTGGAATTGAATTGGAATTGAATTGGAATTGAAATTTTATGGGATTCAATTCCATAGAATTGAATTCTGCAAATTCTAATTCATTTTTTGTACTATCAATTCCAAATCCACATAATTTTTGTGCTGCCAAACACCAGAATTGGAATTGAAATCTTCAATTCCAATTCCATAATTTGAATTCCGTGTACCAAACTGGGCCTTTTTGTTTTTGACTTATTGCTTACGCCGTACTTAATTTAAAATTGAACAAGCAAAATTTATTCTTGTGACAGAGAGGCTAAACTGCAAATACATACGGAGTACTAATTAATTCTGGAATGGTGGTGGTTGAGATTGAATTATTGATTATGAAAGTATAACACAAAAGTATCTCTGTCCTAGACATGTGTGGCTTTAAGCTTTAAGGTGGACTTCAAATCCTGTCAAACATATGAGATATTTATTATTATTGTTATTATTATTATTATTATTATTATTATTATTACTATTATTATTATTACTATTATTATTATTATTACTACTATTATTATTATTACTATTATTATTATTATTATTTTGGTATAACAAGTTTTCAAAAGAAAGAAAACAGTCAAACATCCTCATCACCCGTTGTTTTTTTAATTAAAAAAACTGTCTCTGCAAAAGGGGAGAAGAATAAGACAGAGGCTGTGCACTTACTCCTTCCGTCCCACAAAGATTACTCCCACATCGATATCACGGAAATTACGAAAAATGTTGAAAAGTGAAAATGTGGTCAAAATATATTTAGGAGCAAGAGAGAAAATGTGAGCCATTTATTGATTTCCAAGAGGGAAAGGAAAGTGGAAAATTTATTTTGGAATTAAAGAAAACAAAGCAGAAAAATATTTATAGGGGACATAGGGAGTATATCATTTGAACATAAGAAGCCACTTTCACTCAGTTGAGCAGCTCTCAAGCTAACCATTTGAATAGATTAAAGGACAATGGCTTCTTCTCTACATTCTTTACTTGGTGAGTTTCTCTTCATGACAGTGAACTTCATGGTTTTTTTTTTGTGATTAAATTTCCCAGGGTCTTTGGGTAATGGTACATTAATGAGTTCCGAAACTACTGGATAACTAATAATCAATGTTGCTGGTTCATGTTTGTAGGATTAATGACCCTATATGTGATTCATTTAACTAATGTGATTTCCATATTTGGCCATCTATTTACCGGTATGACAGGGGCATTTTCTTGTATCTGTGGAGGAGAACTCCATTGGGGCTCATTGTGCATCCACAGAGTTTTGGTTGATGCCTTGACTATATTCATAGCCTTTGTATACTTTCTGGTCTCTTTCAGAGGTCCTCCAATGAGGATCAGCATTAGAGAATCCAGAAGGTCCACTTTCCCTTTTGTGGTATCCCTTTGTTGCACCCTTATGAGTGTTGCGTATCTCGGTGCCACTCTTCACAAACTTATCACCAAAAGACATGATTTTTGTTCTCTAAGCTGGTTGCCGTACTTCACAAAAGGAGTGATTTGGATTGCATTTACCTTCTCCTTGCTTGTTCAAGGATCCAGAGTCGTCAAAGGTTTTGTATCTAGTTGGTGGGTTGTTTCCTTTCTGTTGATTTCTTCTCTAAACATTGAAGATTTGGTCACAACCCATACCATCCATATTATGGACGTGGTCACTTGGATCCTTACCTTATTGCTCCTCTTCTCCGCTTTGTCTAACTTCCGTCTTCTCATTCTTTCTCAACCAGTTTCTGTCAAGACTTTGTATAAACCTTTGTTAGTTGTTGAGCTATCTGATGGTGGGAGGCATGCTAGTTTCTTTAGCAAACTGACATTTTCTTGGATGAGCCATATGCTCTCGTTGGGCAAGTCAAAAACAATACTTCTTGAAGACATTCCATGTTTAGAATCAGAAGATGAAGCAAAGTCGAACTATGATAAATTGTGTCATGTGTGGGAAAATAGCTCCAAAGCTTCATCAAACTTGATTCTAAAAGCCATATCAAAAAGGTACAGGAAAGAAATTGTGCTTGGGGGAGTCTATGCACTTCTTAGGATGACTGCTGTTGCAATTTCTCCACTTCTGCTATATGCATTCGTATCTTATTCAAATCTTGAGAGTAAAGAACTCTCGAAAGCTCTTCTTCTAGTTGGGTGCTTGGTTCTTGACAAGGTTCTCGACACTCTGCCCAACCGACATTTCTATTTCTACTCCAAGAGGGTCGGTATGAGAATCAGATCAGCTCTAATGGCGGCGGTTTTTCAGAAACAGCTCAAGCTTTCAAACCGAGGAAAGCAAAGGCATTCAACAGGAGAGATTGTGAATTATATTGCAATCGATGCATATCGAATGGGGGAATCTGTGATGTGGTTCCACATTGGTTGGATTTCTGTTCTGCAAATCTTTCTGTCTGTTGCAGTGCTCTTTTGGGTGGTTGGTCTTGGTGCCCTTCTCGGTTTAGCCCCTCTTGCTATCTTTGGAGCCCTTAATGCGCCATATGCAAAGATAATCCAAAAATGTCAGTCTGAATTCATGATGGCCCAAGACAAGAGGCTAAGGTGCATGTCTGAGTTCTTGAACAGTATGAAAATCATCAAGCTGCAATCGTGGGAAGAAAGCTTCAAGAATGCAGTGGAATCCTATAGAGATATCGAATTAAAATGGCTAACAAAAGCTCAATTGTGCAAGACAGTGAGTACCTTTCTGTACTGGGCATCTCCCACAATCATATCATCCCTAGTATTCTTAGGGTGTGTCCTCTTCAACAGTGCTCCATTTGATGCTGCCACAGTGTTCACGGTCTTGGCAGTATTAAGGGTTATGTCTGAACCCGTTAAGCAGTTACCAGAAGCTATTTCTTTCATAATTCAGTCTAAAGTTTCCCTTGATAGGATAGATTCTTTCCTGTTAGAAGATGAGATTAAAAGAGAGGATGTTACACGATCTCCTGTTGGACACTCAGAAAATATTGTCAGTGTAGTGAATGGCTGCTTCAGCTGGGAATCAGAACCCTTACTTAGAAACATAAATGTTCAAGTGAGAAGGGGTCAGAAAATTGCAGTCTGTGGATCTGTTGGAGCAGGAAAGTCATCACTTCTCAATGCTATACTTGGAGAAATACCTAAAGTTTCAGGAACTGTGAGTTATACACCTCAAATAATGTAGTTTACATAGAAAATAACTCATGTTTGTGATCTGATCTACGCCTTTCAATTTCTGTAAAATTTAATCCTAGCATTTATGATAGCATTCTTGGCATTCTGTATTGCCAAAATGGTCCCTTAATACTTAATGGTGGTTTTAACATGAGAGACTAATTGTATCTTAATTAAAATGTCAAAGAATTAAGGGACTAAAACTACAACTTTCCCTAGTTTATCTTGATGTAGCAGACATTTTTTTCCTTCTTGAAATTGAATCCAGGTGAACGTGTTTGGCTCAATAGCTTATGTGGCACAAGCTTGCTGGATCCAGGGCGGGACAGTTCGTGATAACATACTGTTTGGGAAGTCAATGGACAAAGGAAGATATGAAGAGGCAATAAGAGTGTGTGCTCTAGACAAAGACATCGATAGCTTCAGCTATGGTGACTTGACAGAGATAGGGCAGAGAGGGCTGAATATGAGTGGGGGACAGAAACAGAGAATTCAGTTGGCTCGAGCAGTTTACAGTGATGCAGACATTTATCTTCTAGATGACCCTTTCAATGCTGTTGATGCACATACTGCTTCATGTCTTTTCCATGTAAGAAATCTAGTCCAACTCATATAAACATATATGCTTATTTGATTATTAACTGCACTTAAATGTAATTGCAGGAATGTGTTATGAATGCATTGAAGACGAAAACTGTCATTCTTGTTACTCACCAAGTAGAATTTCTCTCTGCCGTTGATCACATTCTGGTAATTAATGATAATTGTTGTAAACAGTCAGTTGCTGTTAAAGTCCCATGCCTAAACATTAGAAAGAGGCATATGGGTTTATAAGGCCTTTGGTTTGACCAACTAATCAATTAGATTCAATCTTTTAGGGTGGATGTGGCGTAGTGCACCCAATCCTGAATTGATTTGGTGTTTCCTATATCTAGGTACTGGAAGAAGGAGAAATTAGTCAATCAGGATGCTATACTGAGCTTCTGATGAGTGGGATGGCCTTTGAACAGCTAGTCAATGCTCACGAAAGTGCAATAAATGCATTTGATCCACTGGTGAAAAAGATTGATCATAGACCTCAGAGAGAGCATACAACTGACGGGGGGCTTGAAGAGGTCAAAATGGACTCTTTAGATAATGAAGAAAATGGTCAGATTTTGTTGATGGAAGGGGGGGCTCTTCAGCTAACAGAAAATGAGGAGAGGGAGACGAATGAATCTATGTGGAAGATATTCATGGATTACATTTTGGTCTCCAATGGATCCCTTTACATGATACTAAACATTGTAGCTCAGACCGGTTTCGTGGTTTTGCAGGCCGCAGCAAGCTATTGGCTAGCAGTTTCAATTCAATGCCCCAGATTCAGTCATCTTATGATCATTGGAGTTTTTACTTTGATTTATCTGCTAAGTACAATCCTTGCGTATCTCAGATCCCTATTTGCAGTCCTCCTTGGACTCAAAGCTTCAAAAGCCTTTTTCTCTGGTTTTTTAGACTCTGTTTTCAAGGCTCCCATCCTTTTCTTCGACTCTACCCCAGTTGGACGGATATTAACTCGTGTAAGATGATGAAGGCATATGCATTTCCCTATCTCTCTCTCTCTCTCACACACACACGTATATATATATATGTATGTATGTATGTATGTATGTATGTATGTATGTATGTATGTATGTATGTATGTATGTATGTATGTATGTATGTATGTATGTATGTATGTATATATATATATGCACAACACACACACACACATTTTGGGCTGGGTTTTTTTCTGATAATAAGTTTCCGTTTGTTCCCTCTCACTTCAGGCTTCTTCAGACCTGAGCGTATTGGACTATGACATCCCTTACACCTATATTTATGCAATGTCTGCCGGGATAGAATTGGTTGTAACAATTGGTATTATGGCCTCTGTCACATGGCAGGTTCTCATTGTAGGCATCATAGCTACTGTTGCCTCCAAATATGTCCAGGTCAGATGTCTTATCTTAACAATGTGGTAAAAGGAGAGCCTCAGTGGGCCCAAGAAGAACGTAGTGCTTAAGCAGGGGTTAATTAGGAATAGATGAGTATATTCAACAACGTCTACTATTGTATAAGGATAGAAACCAACATCTAAAACATGGGACTACTATGAGTGTTAATGTATAATCCCCTTACCCTCAGATTATAAAAATGTTATTCCTGATGGCATATTTGTATGGATGAAGGAATTCTATCAACCCACAGCAAGGGAACTGATGCGGATCAATGGGACAACAAAGGCTCCATTAATGAGTTATGCAGCCGAGACATCACTTGGAGTTGCCACAATAAGGGCATTTGATATGGCAGACATGTTTTTCCTCAACTATCTGAAACTAGTGGATGCAGACGCAAAAGTCTTTTTCAGCTCAAATGGATCGATGGAGTGGCTTGTTTTGAGAACGGAAATACTCCAAAATCTCACCCTTTTCGTAGCTGCTTTCTTCCTAATTGCAGTTCCATCGCGTTTTCTCCCTTCAGGTACTAAGGGTCCTTTTAGACCCCGAATAATTCTAGGGAAAGATTAAAATTAAAAAGGGCTATATATCAATATATTCATTTTAGAAATTTATTGATACTCCTTTCATTTATTTATTTATGTCTAATTGTCTATCCTTCTCATATAGACTGATTTTTTTAAAAGTAGACTTATAAGTAAAAAATCATGTTTCAGTTCAGATACATTTTACAGGGCAGAGTAAAACAAAACAGTTGTCCTTATCATTTTATCTTTCCCCTAGCATTTTCACTGATCCAAACATGCCCTAAGGCTTATGATCACTTTTACAACAGCATCATCTATAGATATGTACATTTATTATACTCTTCTAAGTTCTAGGGTTTGCCCCCTTTCATGGTTCAGGTCTCGTGGGGCTCTCTTTTTCGTATGCCTTGGTACTAACAAACACTCAAGTGTATTTCAGCCGGTGGTATAGCAGCTTAGCTAACTACATTATCTCAGCTGAAAGGATAAAACAATTTATGCATTTAGCTCCAGAGCCACCAGCTGTGTTGGAAAATAACAGGCCAAACTCTTCTTGGCCTTCCAAGGGTAGAATAGAATTCATAGACCTGAAGGTAAATGTCGCCATATTCTAAACCAACTAAAATGTTTCAGAAAGTATTATTGACACAGAAGATTAGCATAATACCTTATTTGAATGCAGATAAGATACCGTGTAAATGCTCCATTAGTTCTCAAAGGAATAACATGCACCTTCAATGAAGGGACACGAGTAGGAGTTGTAGGGAGGACAGGAAGCGGGAAAACGACGCTGATCAGTGCATTGTTCCGCTTAGTGGAGCCTTACAGTGGGAAAATCATTGTTGATGGTCTTGATATCTGCTCCATAGGCCTCAAAGATTTGAGGCTAAAACTCAGCATCATCCCACAAGAGCCTACTCTTTTCAGAGGGAGTGTTCGAACAAATTTGGACCCTTTAGGCCTTTACTCTGATGATGAAATTTGGAAGGTAAACTTGTCTAGACAATCACCAAAATTTTAGTGTGGTGTGTTTCCATTACTCCAAATGTACTATATATGTCTTATTTGGACTGGCTTCGGATTCTCTGGAAGTGTGTGATTGTTTGGATTTGGAAAATTCACTAATTCCTAAGAATCTTCAATTCCTGGAATTGGAGGGATATGATGCCTCTCTCATACTTTGGGGCTTTCCCACTGCACTGGGTTTGGGTGAAATCCATCATTCTAATCATGAGTTTATTCTGACTACCCTCAAAACAATACCCTAAAAGTTCCTTTTTCAGGCTCTGGAGAAATGCCAGCTCAAGGATACCATTAGCAGACTTCCACACCGGCTAGATTCCTCAGGTGATTTAAAATTATAAAGATTGTGCATGTGTCTGAATTTCCATGATCCAAGATTTAGTTGGGAGCATTTCATGCAGTGAATCATCATCATCATGTACCCATGATCTTATTTGGTTTGCTTTTGTTGTCGTATAAAAAACAGTGAGTGATGAGGGCGACAATTGGAGCATGGGACAACGCCAACTGTTCTGCCTCGGAAGAGTACTTCTGAAGAGGAACAGAATCTTAGTTCTGGATGAGGCAACGGCTTCCATTGACTCTAATACAGATTCCACTTTGCAGAAAATCATCAGAGAAGAATTTTGCAATTGCACAGTCATCACTGTTGCTCATCGTGTTCCCACTGTCATAGACAGCGATATGGTCCTCCTCCTCTCTTTTGGTAAGCTCTTCCCATTCCCTCAGACACATAGACATAGGCCAGCAACTTAAAACAATGAAAGCGCTATGTTTTTTCAATTTTTTCTTACAGGGAAGCTCGTTGAATATGATGAGCCTTCAAAGCTTATGGGAAGAAATTCTTCATTCTCGAAACTGGTTGCTGAATATTGGTCCAGCTGCAGAAGGAATTCCCAGGAGGAGCTCAACCACTGAGATAGATACTATTTAAGATGGCAGGTTATAATAATATGCCAAAAGACCAAAGTGAAAATAAAGCATGTTGATTTACTTTGGGAGTACCAATGAAATACGTATTTAGTCTGCCTTGTATACAGCATAAACCATTATAAGATTTTATTTACATAAATTATCAGTAACAAATTTGGGAGTAACAAGACAGGACTTCTCTCTCAAAATGTTTCTAATTAATCAACCCTCTAGTTCTCAGATCGAATAAGCAAGAAAGATGACATTATGACAATAAATATTCATATTCCACCTGTTCCCTTCATGAAAATTTCACATACATCTGCTTTCTCCAGCTTGATTACTTTAACTACATTTCTACATATCAACCTTAAAAGTTTTGCCATGAATGCTCTTCAGTCTTTAGATCCAAGTTGTCCAACCATTGTTTCCACCTTCATTCCAGTCTGCTTAGGATCCAAGAACCCACACACACACAAAGTGCCACGGCATTTGCAAGATTATTTTCACTTCTGCCAATCAATGTCTACATCTCCAGACTCCAGAATAACTGATACAGTGATATCCCTTCACCAAAACCTCCAAGGATCTTTGTATGGAAAAAGCAACACATTTTTCTAAGAATGGTCCCATCTGTAGCAATCACTGTCATGTCAAATTCAAGATAGAAAACTGTTGGGATTTTAAATGCGTAACACAATGAAAAATATTCAGAGCACCAGAAAAATGAGAGAACACAAGAAAAATATATGAGACTATGAGAGAAATTAAATTTCCACTATTTCAGGACAATATATAAATAACTCTCCCCTGTTTACAAGGTTAAATATCAGACACTCATAAACAGGCTTTTCCATATCTTAAGCCCGAGTGTATTTTTCAGAGTAACTAAATACCAGTTACTCCATACACTCACCAAGACACACTAAGACCTCCTTGGATTTTCCCAGCGGTATTCTTGTGTAAAACCCCATGTGCTCACTCTCTCTCTACCTTGGTGTGTGAAACCACACACACTTCTTGCGTATGACTCCCTCCTTTTAAAGGCTCTAAAGCCAAGCACATTCAATGCATTTGCATCCACCATGCAAAATGCACCAAAGTCATATGCACCGTCTAAAGAGATAGAAACAAACAAGAAGGTAACTTTCCCATGATGCCGTCCAAATGCATGTATGTTCCTATATCTTCCTTCTCCATTTTTTTCTTCTTTTCTTTTTTTCTTCTTTTGAATATTTAATCAATTCTCAACAAACTCCACATTGATTAAATAAACAAAATCTTTGTAGCTCCACCTCACTTGTCTCATGAGATCACCGCTACCCCGAAAAAATTCTCCTTGGCTACACCTCAATGTGCTTCACCGAGATCACTATCATTCTTCAAAGAAGAAACGAAATATCCCTGTGGCTCCACCCTTGTCAATCCACCGAGATTACTGCCTCCTTGAAAGATTTTCCCATGACTCTATCTTGCTCAATACCGAAAGATCTTTGTCACCCTGTGTTGCCTCCGAGGCTTCACTTTGTTCAATACCACAAGGTCACTACCACTTCATTGTACCCGTGGCTCCACCTTGACCAACCCGTCGAGATCACCGCCACTACCTTATCTCTCAAAGAATTTAATGCTCCACTCTGAGCACAAAAAACGATAACTCACCTTTTTCCACACTAAGACCATAGAATTCCGAGACCACCTCTCTAGCAATTATCCATTTTTTATCTGCCCCACCTTGCACCACCGCAACAACCTTGCGGGACACGCTGCCTGACCATCTTTTCTTGTTGCGAAGACTTTCGACACAATACATCAATCGTAGATTGTAAATCTACACTGCACTAGACTGCATGTCTCCTCCGATTCTGTTCCTGCACCATACTTCACGATACTTCACAAACTCAGCATGCTGCTTTATACCCGGTCCCCATGCCATCCACATTGTTCCTAAAGTAAATCTGTGTGCACCGTGAAATGCATATATGATCTTGCCCCACGGTCACCTGCTAGCATAAACCAGCCGGTCCCTGGAGTCTCAAACTTTCTCCTCTCACCACTTACAAATCCTTCATTCCCAGCGCAACCAAGGTCTGATAGCAATTGTTTGGATTTTAAGCGTGTAAGACATCAAAAAATATTGAGAATGCCCGAAAAATGAGAGAACAAACACAACAGAAATATACGAGAGAAAATTTATATTTTTACTATTTCGGGACAATATACAAAAAACTTTCCTCTTGCTTACAAGGTTAAATATCACACTCATAAACAGACTTTGTCCACATCCTATGTCGCGATGTATTTTTTGAGTAACCAAAGTTATCACGGCGCCAAGTCGAGGCGCGGCGATGGGATACCGCCAATATGCCTAGTCGACTAGGCGACAATTAGGCGATGCATAATATAGGAGAATTGCTATACATTAAAAACACTAATATAAATATATCAAATTATATATTGTAGTTGGTAAAGTCTAAATTTTTCTAATGCATCAATGTTTAACTACCAAAGTTACTTTTTAGTACTTTCCAAAAAAACAAAGTTGAAAAAAAGAGTTACCGACTTAAGTTGGTAATAAATTAATCATTTAAAATTTAAAAAATTAAGCACCGAGTATTGATTAGGAAGATAAAGTAGAAAAAAATTAACTTGCAAATAAACTAATTTATAAAGCATTAACAAACAAAGCACTCGAGCCGGGGGTATAAAACACTTAAAAAAAGCACTGGAGTAAAAAAACAAAAGTACTGGACGAGGCGAGGCTAAGGCGATGCCTAGACGAGGTCAAGGTGACGCCTAGGCGAGGTATGCAAAACAAGGCGAGGCGAGCTCTCATGGCGAGAGTAGAAAGGTGCCTGGATGCCTAGGCGACGCCGTGATAACTATGCGAGTAACTTAATACTAGTACTTCCTACACTCACCAGACCCCATAGATTTTTTCGGTGGTATTCTTGTGTAGAACCCCATGTGCTCTCTCTCTCTCTCTCTCTCTCTACCTTGGTGTGTAAAACCACACACAAATTGCTTGCGTATGACACCCTCCTTTTAAAGGCTCTAAAGCCAAGCACATTTGATGCATTTGCATCCACCATGCGAAGTGCACCAAAGTCATATGCACCATCTCTTTTTGAACACTAATTACTCTATTATAAAGTAGAATGTGTTTATATGCACCACCTAAAGAGATAGACAAAGAAGAAGGAAATTGTCCCATGATGCCATCCAAATGCATGCATGTTCCTTTATCTTCCTTCTCCATTTTTTTCTTCTTTTTCTTCGTTTCTTTTTTTCTTTTCTTTTGAATTTTTAATCAATTCTCAACAAACAAATCTATCTCTTTTCTAGTTCCCTAGTTTATTAATCCCAAAGGTCCTGCATTGTTTTAATTGATGGTGAAAATGCTTTCACATACTCCCCCTGTCCCGAATAAATTTCTCTTTTTCTTTTCAAATCATCCCAAAATAAACTTCTTATTTACTTTTAAAGGAAAAATTTTGGTGGTTCGTATTATTTCTCTTTTCTCTGCTTAAATTTCAACCACACAATTTCACTTTTTTAAACCCTGTGCAAGAAGTTAACAAGATGTTTAATTCGGAGGGTGTGTAGTTTGGATACCTAAATAATTCAATCAATCTAGTGGTAAATAGAACAAGTGCACATTTACTGTTAGAATGGATTTGTAATCAGAATTCAACAAATACAAAGAAGAAGGCTTCACGAGGAGATTCATTTTATAAAATGACTTAAGTACATACTTTGTTCCATTTATTATTCAGTGTTGAAGCTGTGAGGGTATATAGGTAACCTGAAACATAGCAGAATCCTGTATCAAAAGTTAAACCAGAAAATAGAGTAATTTTTCATTTGAAGGTATGACCCTTAAACTTTGTGAGCTGGGCTGCCCTTTAAGGTGTGACGACAGCTTGTGAGTACTTAAAGCTCAATCTTTTTTTTGAAAGGAAGAGAATTCATTAATGGAAGTAGAAAGTATGGGAGCATCACTCCGTCTAGCCAAAGTCTGAGCCAAAATGTTGGAAGGACGACGAACGAAATTGATGGAAATGAAATCAAAATCAGTTATAGAAGCCCTACAATCATCTATAGCACCACCAAAATATGAAGGTAGATCAGTACCAACCTCCTGTTGTAAAAGCTGCACCACTCTAAGTCAATCAGAAAAGAGCTGAACTTCACGCACCCCACGGCATCTCAACCATGCAAGGACCTCACGACATGCCAAAGCTTCCGCCAATAACGGATCTTGCACACAACGAATAGGCCCGTTACACGCTGCCCGAAAGCCTCCCTCGGAGCTTAGCAACAGCCCACAAAAACAAACAAAACCAGTTTACGGGAAGAGGCCAGCGTCCACGAAACATTTTGTTACACCAGGCTGACCAATATGAGGGGGAATGACGGCTCCATCCTGTCCAGTAACCTCAAAGCCGTCCTTCCACTCCGTAACCATCGAGTTAATCATCTGCGTCACAGCCTCCGGCATAGCCACACGGTGCTCCCACACTGCAGTATTTCGACTCTTCCCAAGTGCCCAAATAGCCCAAGCGACCACCTGTAACTCCCCCATTGAACAGCTTTCAGTTTGCCGCTGGAACCATGCCCAAAAAGACAAAGTTTTGTCTCCTCCAATACCCAGATTTCTCCGTACTCCTGCAAGAGGACACCGAAGAAAGACATGCTCCACCGACTCCGGGCTGGCCACAAACCGGACACCAATTATCAAGATTCATTCCTTTAACATTTAAAGCTGGGATGGTTGGGAGGATACCACGAAGTGCCTGCAATAAACAAACTTTCACATTCATGGCCACCTGGATCTTCCACAGCCGCCCCCAATTTGAAAATCCGGGCGCAAAACTTGCCTCCCCCATAAACATGGGATAGCAGCCTTCACCGTATAATCTCTGTGCGACTGCCCATACCAAAACCACATATCCTTCCTGCCAACATCTGAGGTAATTTTCAACATCAGTTCAATGTCTCTTTGGCTAAAAAGCTGGTGCAGTAGCTGCAAGCCCCAGTAACCACTTTGACTGTTAATAAGAAAAGCAATAGGAAAGTTAGGCCAATGAGAAGATGAATCCAAGCACGCCCGTGGATCAGCAGCATCCAGAAGCCAAGGGCTACCCCAAACAAGAGTGTCAACACCATTGCCAATTCTACATCGAGCTCCTGCTTTAAGTAAGGGCTTGGGCGGCCAAAATACTTCCCCATCAATAACTAGGGGTGCCCTCCAACTTAGCTTCTAGAAAAGTAGTTGAAAAATACCTCACTTTGAAAACACGAGACACCAGTGCATCCGGTAGTGAAAAATCGGCATCCTTGCTTACCCAACATAGCAATATTGAAACTGTGAAGGTGCTTGAAACCAATGCCCCCAAACGTCTTAGGTTCTGCCATGTGCTCCCAAGAAAGCCAATGGATACCCTTATCCAAACTTCCTTTACCATGCCACCAAAACGCATTTATCAGTCGTTCAATGTTAGAACACATAAGACTTGGGTAGCAAAAACACACTCATTAAAAATTGTGGCATAACCTGAGCCACAGTCTTGAGTAAAGCTAAAGTCTCTTTTCCTACTTTAGACAATAGCTTTATACTCCAACCCTCGATACGATGACGGATCTTATCAAGAATGTAAGTGAAAACTGAAGTCTTATGCTTTCCTTAAAAAGAAGGTAAACCAAGGTACTTACCAAAATTATCCGCCGGGGTACTCCAAAGAAATGTGTAAGGCTCCCCGCACCTCAATTGGGGTATTCGTACTAAAGAAGATACTAGACTTAAGAAAATTTACAGCCTACCCAGAAATATACTCGTATTAGGCAATACAACTCTGAACCACAAAGGCCTCCTCCACGTGTGGGTAGAATAACATGAATCTACCATGAAGAAAAGCTGACTGCGTATCAGAGATACTCATTTAGGGCCTGTTTGGGAATAGCGTTAGAGATTAGCGTTAGCGTTAGCGTTTTCAAATTAATCTGCACCGTTAAAATTTTATCCAAAACGCTAACGCTAATCTTTAACGCTATTCCCAAACAGGCCCTTAAAGAAGAGGTTTCACCCTATTACCCAGAACCTTTGCCACAATATTATAAATAATGTTGCAAAGGGCAATAGGACGTAAATCTGTAACAGTCTCAGGTGAGTTTTTCTCCAAGATCTGGGCAATGCTCGCAAATTATATCGTACAGCCGGCTGTACTGGAAGAATCGTACAGCCGGCGGAAATTAGCGTGGAGCTCGATCGAGTACAGCCGGCGGAAATGGAGCGCGATTGAGTCAAACCCTAGGTGCGTTTGATCGGAAAAAGAAGGCAGTACAAGAGTAGCGGGGAGCAGCGAAGATGGTGGTGATGCGAAGGTGATGGTGAAGATGATGATGGAGAAGAAGAAGCCTTCACGGGGAGTCGAAGGGTTTGGGAAATTTTTAGTCAGAAATAATTCAGCTTTTCGGTGAGGGAGAAGAAGAAGAGGTGGAGATTGATTTTAAACTAAGTGGAATGAATGAATGGTATTTTAGTTGAGAATGAACACTACTTTATTTGATAATGAGTATCACTTTGTTTCAGAATGAACACTATGTTATTTGTAAATGAATATTATAATTGTATGAAATAATTGTGTGAGAATGAGTACTACTTTACTTTAAAATGAGTACCACCTGGATGTACCTATTTCTAGGTACAACTGGCTGTACGATATACCTTCTCGGCAATGCTACGTTGCTCATGGCCTCTGGAAACACACCATCATTAAAGCATGAGAGAACAAACTTTGTAACATCAAAACCCACCAGGCCACCACATCCCACACCTTCTGAAAGAAGGTTGGAGTCAACTCATCTGGACCTCAGGACTTATCTGGGTGCATAGCTGTTGGGAAAAATATTATAGATTTTGATGATGATGTATTTAGAATGTATTAGGGACTTTAGGTCTCCCCCAATATTCAATGTAATTTTTCTTTTTAGAAATATTGTCAAAACCGAGCTCTTGAGATTTCCAATAAAGCTGTGATATTTCTTTAAGCGTTTTGATGCCTGAAGACTTAATCAAATTTAGTGATATGGAAATTGGATATCTTGATCAGAAATGTCAGAGACAAGTAAGGATTTCTCAATCAGATGAAAATCCTCAGATCCGGAAGACTACATAAGAACCGGATGTCTCGCTACAACCCGCTGAAGGCTAAGTCATCCAAATCGGAAGACTAGCGCGGATCTCTCTCTCACCCGGAAGTCTGAGAATGACTTCTCCGGATTTGTCAGCGAAGAACCGGATGCCTCAAGGAAGACCGGAATTCTCAGAAAACGGACAAGTGAGAAAGGACTTAGATAATTATCTAAGTCTTGAATGAAGAAATTCTACCCGTTAGTAAGGAAAAATCAATCTCTTGATTTTCAACGGCTAGATTGAAGATAATTATGCTGATTCAAGAACAAA